GCAGTCTAGTCAATTTCGAATCGCGATAACTGATAAACTCCTTCCCCTCGCTTAGTTGCCTTATCACATTTCCTAATACTGACAAAGATTTGTTTATGTTAGCCCCCTCTTTAAGACGCTCACCAGCAGCTTTCGTCAGAGAAACTCTCTCAGAACCAGCTAAGTCCATTAAGTTAAGGTAGCTTATATGTACAGGTCCATCTTTCTGATTGGCATCTTTCGACTCCAGAATAATCCGGAAAATCGTGTGTGATCGAGATGACCTCTCATTCATGCGAGTAGCTGCAACTCGTCTGATCTTATTGCCCTGCATCATGTTCTCCATAACTTTATCAACATTGTCTACGACAGCTTCCCTTGCATCAAGCAGCACATTTCCTTTGATATCTTCTCTTATAGTTAAACCCTGATTGCTCTTATCCAGGAGGTCATTGATCTTTTCATTGTAGATTTCAATATAACTGCATCTAATCAAGTACCTCTTATCAACCTGGTCTGCCACATGCTGGAATAACTGATTGGATACTAATTGGAAAAGCCCAGGATCTGTTTTATTGCCCAAAATGGTGTGTGTTTTGCCAGAAGATGTTTGGCCATATGCAAATATTGTGGCATTGAAACCTTCCATGAAGGAATCGACTAAAGGTTTTACTACAGATCCATATACATCTGAATTTGTACATTCCTGCTTAAATACATGGTCGAATATATAAACCTCTCCATGGCGACTACTTTCATCGGCTTCCCATATGCAGTTTACTCTTACGTTCCAAAGACGCTCTAGACCATCGGCTACTTCGCGGTGGATCATTGGTCTGATCTTTGTGGCTACTTTAATATTGTCGGAAGTCATTTTGGAAGCTTGAACTGAAATTTAATTAGAACTAGGGCTATTTCACGGGTTATAAAGAGGGGCACTTTTCATAATCCAGATTTCGTTTTGGCATTCCAGTTCAGCCATTTGATCCTGAAGCTCTTTTATAGTAGAATCATTATGGCATCGTATATCTGAGATTTTAAATGAGTGGTTGACCTCACGTTGGTTACTCTCGTCCATCAGACTCTTTACGTCATTTCTCAGTTTAGATTCAAGTTCTTTTAGGAAGCCAATTTCATCTTGCAGTTCAGCAATGTGTGACATCGTTACATCAGTTTGTGTAGCAGCACTTAAAGAATCTTGCATATCTTCGTACTCAGCGTCAAGCATAGCTTCTAAGTCTGCAACCTTCTTTTTTGACTCAATATTTTGAGCTTCAAGAGATGGTTTAGGGCTCTCTGATCTTCCTAGGTTCTTCAGTTGAGTACGCAGCATCTCTATTTCTGACTCGTATGTTTTTAGTCTTTTTATTATTTTTTCCAGAAAATCGAGTCTGTATTGCAAGTCGATGAAATTCTTGCGCTTTTTGAGAATTTTTTTGAACTCTTTCTATTTCTTCGTTGTACGCATCCGTTACTTGGCGGAGTTCCTGACTGTAACGATCGATTTTAGAATTGGCTTCTGTGAGCTGTTTCTTCAGGTCCAAAATCTCCAGCTGATTATCTAGTTTAGTGAATTCTCTAAGCTCATTGAAAGATTCTTCCAGTTCTTTGCGTTGTCTTTTAAGTACACTTGCACGTCTTCAGCTATCACAGATTCTGCTTCGGCTAGTGCCTCCTCATATGTCTCTTCTTGAATAGGCCTCATTTCACGTCCGGATGATTCTTCTTTGGGTGGATAATTTTTCAATGGCATATACCCTAGGGATGCTTTTTTAGGTGATACGTTGCCATAGTGTCCAAAAGTATGACGTCTTAATGTTTTTTTCGGTGTTGATGCCGAGGCTCCCATTTGAAAGCGCCCGACAATAGATACTTCCGTTTTTAGTCTTTCTATCTCGAGCAGATACTCTTGTTTGCTTTTATCCATCTCTTTAGCTTAATTGCCTGCTTTTTGAGCCGAGTTTCGAGATCGCGAGTCAAGTTCTGATATCCTTGAAGTGTCTCTAGCTGACAAGATGTTTACTTTCGTTTTATTTTTGACAGTTTTAGTGCTTTGGGCGAATTCTGGTGTAGATCTAGTCTCCTCCTCTGCAGCTAAAGTAACATTCCCGATAATCAATGATTTGGCATTACCGCCAAGAGCCTGTGAGAGCAGTCTAGTCAATTTCGAATCGCGATAACTGATAAACTCCTTCCCCTCGCTTAGTTGCCTTATCACATTTCCTAATACTGACAAAGATTTGTTTATGTTAGCCCCCTCTTTAAGACGCTCACCAGCAGCTTTCGTCAGAGAAACTCTCTCAGAACCAGCTAAGTCCATTAAGTTAAGGTAGCTTATATGTACAGGTCCATCTTTCTGATTGGCATCTTTCGACTCCAGAATAATCCGGAAAATCGTGTGTGATCGAGATGACCTCTCATTCATGCGAGTAGCTGCAACTCGTCTGATCTTATTGCCCTGCATCATGTTCTCCATAACTTTATCAACATTGTCTACGACAGCTTCCCTTGCATCAAGCAGCACATTTCCTTTGATATCTTCTCATAGTTAAACCCTGATTGCTCTTATCCAGGAGGTCATTGATCTTTTCATTGTAGATTTCAATATAACTGCATCTAATCAAGTACCTCTTATCAACCTGGTCTGCCACATGCTGGAATAACTGATTGGATACTAATTGGAAAAGCCCAGGATCTGTTTTATTGCCCAAAATGGTGTGTGTTTTGCCAGAAGATGTTTGGCCATATGCAAATATTGTGGCATTGAAACCTTCCATGAAGGAATCGACTAAAGGTTTTACTACAGATCCATATACATCTGAATTTGTACATTCCTGATTAAATACATGGTCGAATATATAAACCTCTCCATGGCGACTACTTTCATCGGCTTCCCATATGCAGTTTACTCTTACGTTCCAAAGACGCTCTAGACCATCGGCTACTTCGCGGTGGATCATTGGTCTGATCTTTGTGGCTACTTTAATATTGTTGGAAGTCATTTTGGAAGCTTGAACTGAAATTTAATTAGAACTAGGGCTATTTCACGGGTTATAAAGAGGGGCAGATGTATCAGGTTGATACATTCTTTTTTTCCTCCTTTCCAGTATAGAAGATTTTTTTCTCTTGTAGGCTATGAATGCGGTCCGATAGTTTAGTAGAGCTACATTTACAGGGTGACTCAAAATCAAAGAAGAAACAGAATTGTTAAATTTTATAGACTGTTATTGTTATTACAAAAAGAAGTTGAAGCAGCAGCAAATTCTCACAAATCTATAGATCCATCACTTTCAGCACCCGATTTTTCAACTTGAAAAATGCAGCTCGGTGAAGAATCACAAGGTAACTGTTGTCTATTCAGACAATACTCTTCTAAAAGCAACGCGAAGTTACCTAGTGCCTTACATGAATCGCCTTCATAATTCTTCATTATTGTCAATGGAAAACTGAAATTGTTGATTATTACAGTTTTTAATGCTGCAAATAAGCAGATGGGTTCGTGTTGGAAATCCCACGTCTAATCTCGCAAAACAGGTTATCCACCGGATCTTACTATCAACTCTGAAATGCCATTACTGTTTTTAGCCATGTGTACAACAGGTTTGTACGCATAAACACTCTTACATGAAAACTGTTTATTGTCTAAAAACGAAAATACCCCATTGAAGATGAGTAATGCAATAAATATAATTCGAAACTTGAACTGTAATATGAACATAAAAAAACTAACAAAATGGGCCATTTAACAACATATTTGGTGTTGATATTCTACAACAAAAACAAATACTTTCTCGTATAAGGAAACGTACAATAATTCACATTTATCACTTTTCACGAAACAATGTAGCGCTGTGACTTTACATACTTATTACAGATTGTAGAACATTTTTTTCATTGTGTATTGTCATGTAACACCTACGTCGTTTTTTCTTTAACAACTGCATCAGGATCGAGAACTCTGGGCTGAGAAGTAGACGGCTTACTTTATTCGTCGTTGGTAATTTAGGATTCTTTGCATGGCTGAACGAAGCTCCCTAGGAAGTCTTGGATCTGATAAACGTCCTCTCATACGAAGTTAAATTAGAGTTTGCCTCAGGGGAACAATAAAATTTCGTCGCCTAATGAACTTTCAGTCCCAGACTGAAAAAAAAGGAATTTACAGAAGCTGGTTGGATACCAAATAGCACAAGGCCATCTTCTCGTTCTCTAACCAGTATTGTAATTTACACACTTCCGATCTAATGCATTACCCCCCGCCTTCATAGTGTTATAAAAATAATATAGAATCTTATCAGGTTTCTTTGATTCCTCTACTATTTTGTTATCATGCTGCATAGATTGCTATACGAGAACATGTGTATTTGGTTTTGGAAGATACTACACTAAGGCTGTAGTGCTAGTGAACTAAACTTAGAAGTACCTGGCTGTGTTTCCTTCTTATTTGGAACTACATGTTGGGGTACTTGTTACTTATTTTTACGCTTCCTGCCGACATAGGTCAGTTGGTTGATGCGCAATTCTACATGTAATTCTACTGGTGTGATATTTCTGTTCGTATAGACGAAAGCATTGAGCAGGTAGTGGTGAGTCTTTGCATCATCAGTCCATACTTATTCGGTTTAGTTTTCTTGTAGGCACAGGAAGGACATCGGCCCACGAGCATCTCGTATTTTGTAGGGGACTCACCCGAAAATAAAATTTCGACAGTTCTCTATGAGTGTCTCGAAAATTTCACGTATTTGGAGAAATTTATCTGCATTTCTCGAGTCACAGGGTTATTATTTTCCAAATTGGTTGCCACGGACTTTAGTTCAGGTAAATGCGTAATAATTGTCGTCTGGATCGACCAGTTGCAGGCGCTCGTTTTGACCAATTGTACATGTTTTTTCCATAAGCATAGCGAGGTCGCCCATAGGAAGTTGTTCAGGTTGATCGCTAACAGCGTCGTCCTCGGCGTAGTCTATGTGTATTGTTCATCCGTCAACAACGAAAAAATCCATTGTGAAGGAAGTTCAAATCGTACACGCAACTGACATCCTCGGATCAAATTTGACCGCAAAGTCAACAAACCAACACTTGTGATGTTTAAATTAAACTGTGGTTTGAGGTATACGTGCTTATACCGTATGAGAAGTCACGGGACCCCCACCACATAACTGAGAAAGCTCGAATCATCCGACGATACCATTAAAGGATTAATTTCTATATTCTTAACGAATCTATAAAATCAAAGTGGCTGGGTTTCAATTTACATAGCTCTTTGTATGGTCTTGTTTGCTGATCAACATTATATGCTTTCTAGACATGTTCAAGCTGTGCAGCTTCTTCACTTTCATATTAATGTCAATAAGAGCATTTCATCCATTTTTGAATAAATGTGGTTCATCACAAATTGTAGAAATACTCTGAGCATTGACTATAAAATGGAATGGACTTGATCCGTGAGTATTCTCCGAGCAAATCGTCTCAAGTGCGTTTTTGATCGTTGCGCCCTGATTAGAAATAGTGCCAACGACGCACAAACCAAGTCGCTGCAAGTTTGTGATCACATGAACAATAATCGTTTTCAGATCTGGGATTCTTGTATCTTTTACTAGATAATAAGCCACAACCTGCTTATAATTTTTACGAATCCTCTTATCATGGAAGTAAGGGCATGATTTCTGATAAATCACTTTTACAGAGTTCTAGTTGATTTTGTTACCTCAGAATTCAATTTATTAGCTGAAAATTGTACACTGTGAGCGGTTACCAAGACTAGATTCACAATCTTAAGTCCTAGGTGCTATCGTGGTCGTGGGATCAGCCCTAAACTTTGTCCAAACCCTGCAATAATCGTAAACACTAAACAAGGGTAGACATATTTCTAGTTTAACTGCCTGAAGATTTTCTCTATGGTTTATACGTAACCTCCACCTATTATCTCATTTTTGTACATGTTCTGGGAGAACTCAACTTGCTCCCTATAAAATGCAACGTCTTCCTGCACAGGTGGTTCTGGTTAAGTGCCAGCCTGCTTCGGGTTTGTAATTAGTTGTTGCAATTTACTGATTTCGTCGTCATTTTCATAATCCAGATTTCGTTTTGGCATTCCAGTTCAGCCATTTGATCCTGAAGCTCTTTTATAGTAGAATCATTATGGCATCGTATATCTGAGATTTTAAATGAGTGGTTGACCTCACGTTGGTTACTCTCGTCCATCAGACTCTTTACGTCATTTCTCAGTTTAGATTCAAGTTCTTTTAGGAAGCCAATTTCATCTTGCAGTTCAGCAATGTGTGACATCGTTACATCAGTTTGTGCAGCACTTAAAGAATCTTGCATATCTTCGTACTCAGCGTCAAGCATAGCTTCTAAGTCTGCAACCTTCTTTTTTGACTCAATATTTTGAGCTTCAAGAGATGGTTTAGGGCTCTCTGATCTTCCTAGGTTCTTCAGTTGAGTACGCAGCATCTCTATTTCTGACTCGTATGTTTTTAGTCTTTTTATATTTTTTTCCAGAAAATCGAGTCTGTATTGCAAGTCGATGAAATTCTTGCGCTTTTTGAGAATTTTTTTGAACTCTTTCTATTTCTTCGTTGTACGCATCCGTTACTTGGCGGAGTTCCTGACTGTAACGATCGATTTTAGAATTGGCTTCTGTGAGCTGTTTCTTCAGGTCCAAAATCTCCAGCTGATTATCTAGTTTAGTGAATTCTCTAAGCTCATTGAAAGATTCTTCCAGTTCTTTGCGTTGTCTTTTAAGTACACTTGCACGTCTTCAGCTATCACAGATTCTGCTTCGGCTAGTGCCTCCTCATATGTCTCTTCTTGAATAGGCCTCATTTCACGTCCGGATGATTCTTCTTTGGGTGGATAATTTTTCAATGGCATATACCCTAGGGATGCTTTTTTAGGTGATACGTTGCCATAGTGTCCAAAAGTATGACGTCTTAATGTTTTTTTCGGTGTTGATGCCGAGGCTCCCATTTGAAAGCGCCCGACAATAGATACTTCCGTTTTTAGTCTTTCTATCTCGAGCAGATACTCTTGTTTGCTTTTATCCATCTCTTTTAGCTTAATTGCCTGCTTTTTGAGCCGAGTTTCGAGATCGCGAGTCAAGTTCTGATATCCTTGAAGTGTCTCTTCTGTAGCTGACAAGATGTTTACTTTCGTTTTATTTTTGACAGTTTTAGTGCTTTGGGCGAATTCTGGTGTAGATCTAGTCTCCTCCTCTGCAGCTAAAGTAACATTCCCGATAATCAATGATTTGGCATTACCGCCAAGAGCCTGTGAGAGCAGTCTAGTCAATTTCGAATCGCGATAACTGATAAACTCCTTCCCCTCGCTTAGTTGCCTTATCACATTTCCTAATACTGACAAAGATTTGTTTATGTTAGCCCCCTCTTTAAGACGCTCACCAGCAGCTTTCGTCAGAGAAACTCTCTCAGAACCAGCTAAGTCCATTAAGTTAAGGTAGCTTATATGTACAGGTCCATCTTTCTGATTGGCATCTTTCGACTCCAGAATAATCCGGAAAATCGTGTGTGATCGAGATGACCTCTCATTCATGCGAGTAGCTGCAACTCGTCTGATCTTATTGCCCTGCATCATGTTCTCCATAACTTTATCAACATTGTCTACGACAGCTTCCCTTGCATCAAGCAGCACATTTCCTTTGATATCTTCTCATAGTTAAACCCTGATTGCTCTTATCCAGGAGGTCATTGATCTTTTCATTGTAGATTTCAATATAACTGCATCTAATCAAGTACCTCTTATCAACCTGGTCTGCCACATGCTGGAATAACTGATTGGATACTAATTGGAAAAGCCCAGGATCTGTTTTATTGCCCAAAATGGTGTGTGTTTTGCCAGAAGATGTTTGGCCATATGCAAATATTGTGGCATTGAAACCTTCCATGAAGGAATCGACTAAAGGTTTTACTACAGATCCATATACATCTGAATTTGTACATTCCTGATTAAATACATGGTCGAATATATAAACCTCTCCATGGCGACTACTTTCATCGGCTTCCCATATGCAGTTTACTCTTACGTTCCAAAGACGCTCTAGACCATCGGCTACTTCGCGGTGGATCATTGGTCTGATCTTTGTGGCTACTTTAATATTGTTGGAAGTCATTTTGGAAGCTTGAACTGAAATTTAATTAGAACTAGGGCTATTTCACGGGTTATAAAGAGGGGCAGATGTATCAGGTTGATACATTCTTTTTTTCCTCCTTTCCAGTATAGAAGATTTTTTTCTCTTGTAGGCTATGAATGCGGTCCGATAGTTTAGTAGAGCTACATTTACAGGGTGACTCAAAATCAAAGAAGAAACAGAATTGTTAAATTTCATATAGACTGTTATTGTTATTACAAAAAGAAGTTGAAGCAGCAGCAAATTCTCACAAATCTATAGATCCATCACTTTCAGCACCCGATTTTTCAACTTGAAAAATGCAGCTCGGTGAAGAATCACAAGGTAACTGTTGTCTATTCAGACAATACTCTTCTAAAAGCAACGCGAAGTTACCTAGTGCCTTACATGAATCGCCTTCATAATTCTTCATTATTGTCAATGGAAAACTGAAATTGTTGATTATTACAGTTTTTAATGCTTCAAATAAACAGATGGTGTTCGTGTTGGAAATCCCACGTCTAATCTCGCAAAACAGGTTATCCACCGGATCTTACTATCAACATCTGAAATGCCATTACTGTTTTTAGCCATGTGTACAACAGGTTTGTACGCATAAGACACTCTTACATGAAAACTGTTTATTGTCTAAAAACGAAAATACCCCATTGAAGATGAGTAATGCAATAAATATAATCCTCGAAACTTGAACTGTAATATGAACATAAAAAAACTAACAAAATGGGCCATTTAACAACATATTTGGTGTTGATATTCTACAACAAAAACAAATACTTTCTCGTATAAGGAAACATACAATAATTAACATTTATCACTTTTCACGAAACAATGTAAGTGCGCTGTGACTTTACATACTTATTACAGATTGTAGAACATTTTTTTCATTGTGTATTGTCATGTAACACCTACGTCGTTTTTTTTCTTTAACAACTGCATCAGGATCGAGAACTCTGGGCTGAGAAGTAGACGGCTTACTTTATTCGTCGTTGGTAATTTAGGATTCTTTGCATGGCTGAACGAAGCTCCCTAGGAAGTCTTGGATCTGATAAACGTCCTCTCATACGAAGTTAAATTAGAGTTTGCCTCAGGGGAACAATAAAATTTCGTCGCCTAATGGAACTTTCAGTCCCAGACTGAAAAAAAAGGAATTTACAGAAGCTGGTTGGATACCAAATAGCACAAGGCCATCTTCTCGTTCTCTAACCAGTATTGTAATTTACACACTTCCGATCTAATGCATTACCCCCCCTTCATAGTGTTATAAAAATAATATAGGATCTTATCAGGTTTCTTTGATTCCTCTACTATTTTGTTATCATGCTGCATAGATTGCTATACGAGAACATGTGTATTTGGTTTTGGAAGATACTACTCTAAGGCTGTACAACATAAACTTAGAAGTACCTGGCTGTGTTTCCTTCTTATTTGGAACTACATGTTGGGGTACTTGTTACTTATTTTTACGCTTCCTGCCGACATAGGTCAGTTGGTTGATGCGCAATTCTACATGTAATTCTACTGACGTGAACCAGTCATCTGCTGTGATATTTCTGTTCGTATAGACGAAAGCATTGAGCAGGTAGTGGTGAGTCTTTGCATCATCAGTCCATACTTATTCGGTTTAGTTTTCTTGTAGGCACAGGAAGGACATCGGCCCACGAGCATCTCGTATTTTGTAGGGGACTCACCCGAAATATAACAATTTCGACAGTTCTCTATGAGTGTCTCGAAAATTTCACGTATTTGGAGAAATTTATCGGCATTTCTCGAGTCACAGGGTTATTATTTTCCAAATTGGTTGCCACGGACTTTAGTTCAGGTAAATGCGTAATAATCGACCAGTTGCAGGCGCTCGTTTTGACCAATTGTACATGTTTTTTCCATAGGCATAGCGAGGTCGCCCATAGGAAGTTGTTCAGGTTGATCGATAGCAGCGTCGTCCTCGGCGTAGTCTATAGTGTATTGTTCATCCGTCAACAACGAAAAAATCCATTGTGAAGGAAGTTCAAATCGTACACGCAACTGACATCCTCGGATCAAATTTGACCGCAAAGTCAACAAACCAACAATTGTGATGTTTAAATTAAACTGTGGTTTGAGGTATACGTGCTCATACCGTATGAGAAGTCACGGGACCCCCACCACATAACTGAGAAAGCTCGAATCATCCGACGATATCATTAAAGGATTAATTTCTATATTCTTGAACGAATCTATAAAATCAAAGTGGCTGGGTTTCAATTTACATAGCTCTTTGTATGGTCTTGTTTGCTGATCAACATTATATGATTTCTAGACATGTTCAATCTGTGCAGCTTCTTCACTTTCATATTAATGTCAATAAGAGCATTTCATCCATTTTTGAATAAATGTGGTTCATCACAAATTGTAGAAATACTCTGAGCATTGACTATAAAATGGAATGGACTTGATCCGTGAGTATTCTCCGAGCAAATCGTCTCAAGTGCGTTTTTGATCGTTGCGCCCTGATTAGAAATAGTGCCAACAACGCACAAACCAAGTCGCTGCTAGTTTGTGATCACATGAACAATAATCGTTTTCAGATCTGGGATTCTTGTATCTTTTACTAGATAATAAGCCACAACCTGCTTATAATTTTTACGAATCCCTCTTATCATGGAAGTAAGGGCATGATTTCTGATAAATCACTTTTCAGAGTTCTAGTTGATTTTGTTACCTCAGAATTCAAGATTTATTAGCTGAAAATTGTACACTGTGAGCACTGGGATCAGCCCTAAACTTTGTCCAAACCCTGCAATAATCGTAAACACTAAACAAGGGTAGACATATTTCTAGTTTAACTGCCTGAAGATTTTCTCTATGGTTTATACGTAACTCTCCACCTATTATCTCATTTTTGTACATGTTCTGGGAGAACTCAACTTGCTCCCTATAAAATGCAACGTCTTCCTGCACAGGTGGTTCTGGTTAAGTGCCAGCCTGCTTCGGGTTTGTAATTAGTTGTTGCAATTTTCTGATTTCGTCGTCCTTTTTCATAATCCAGATTTCGTTTTGGCATTCCAGTTCAGCCATTTGATCCTGAAGCTCTTTTATAGTAGAATCATTATGGCATCGTATATCTGAGATTTTAAATGAGTGGTTGACCTCACGTTGGTTACTCTCGTCCATCAGACTCTTTACGTCATTTCTCAGTTTAGATTCAAGTTCTTTTAGGAAGCCAATTTCATCTTGCAGTTCAGCAATGTGTGACATCGTTACATCAGTTTGTGCAGCACACTTAAAGAATGTTGCATATCTTCGTACTCAGCGTCAAGCATAGCTTCTAAGTCTGCAACCTTCTTTTTTGACTCATATTTTGAGCTTCAAGAGATGGTTTAGGGCTCTCTGATCTTCCTAGGTTCTTCAGTTGAGTACGCAGCATCTCTATTTCTGACTCGTATGTTTAGTCTTTTTATATTTTTTCCAGA